TAAAGAAATCTTTCTTGGAGAAGTTTATATAGTAAGATTGAGAGCATACAGATGTAATATCATTAACAGAAACAAAACTAAAATAAAAGTACTAACTTTATAATTTGTAAATGTTTTAATCAAGAGTTGACTCCTAAGGTGTCTTATCTGAAACTAAATCCAAAAGGTAGTAATTAGTTAATTATTGGCAGAATATGGTAATGAGGACTAAAAAGTTATTAAAAGCACGTTAATCTATATACTTTCAGTATATATTCCTCTTTTGATAGTAAATAATCAAGGAAAGATATTAAAATGATCGATTTTATTTCATCATAAAGTAAACTGGAAAATTTTAAGCAATCTCAAGCTATAGTTATGGGAGATTTTATTTCCATATTAATAAGATTCAATATATGTTAGAAGAATTCTAGTTAAGGGGTAGTGTTCCAAATAATATTTAAACATATATTGGAGTAAGCACTAATACTAGATACTATATAATCTTGGAAAAATGAATGAGATTATTTGATGAGTAAAAAAATTAAAGAAGGATCTATCTGATCAGACTGTTGTAAAAGCAAATTAAGTTTATTATCAATAAAAACTATTTCAATATTGATTGTCCTCCTTGTAAAATTTCTAATGCATAAATTAAGAAAATTCACATAATCGTAACAAACTAACTGTATTTTGTAAATTAATAAGAATATCTTTGATAAAATAGCAATAAGTCAATATGATAATAAATTTAAGAAAAGCCTACAATCTAATAATTGTACCATCAACCTTAAGATAGGCATCTTTATAAGGGAAAAAGCTCAAGTAATTCATGGAAAAGAAATAATAAGACAAATGGAATAAGTTAATGAGAGAAATTGAGGAAAATTTTAACTATAATAATAAAAAATAGTTCTTCTAATTAACAATAAAAGCAACTCAGAAAAAAAAAGTATATGATTCTTGGGAGTGATGGTAGATGGGAATTCAAGTTTTGATGAAGATACTGGGAATCAGCAAGTGAGTGATATAAGCACAAACCCAAAACAACTTAATTTACTTAATTTAGGCCACTATTGGGAAATAAAGACCTTACTTCTTTAACAATAAACCGATTACCAAGAAAATAAAGATTAGACAGTAGAAAGAGAACTAACTCAAAACAAAATAATCTTTGTTTCTTAAACAATCGATATAGATACCCTATAAGTACAACCAGAAATAGCAATCTTTTGGGTAAAGTAAAAATGATACTTATATAATAATAGTTTAGCCTAAGAGATATAACAAATAAAGAATAATCTAATAGAAGTACATCTACCTATATCAATAAATAGAACTATTAGAGTTTAAGGAACAATAAAAGCTTCAATATCTCAAAGACTTGGATGTCCAAAAAAATAATTCTTGGCTATGATTAATAAAAAAATTTTCAAGAATTAAATTATAAGATA